TCCACGCAGTGAGAGGGAGCGCAAGAGGGCCGAGTTTGAGGGTTTGCAGCAAAATGGTATGTCAGTTGCAGAGTATGAGGGTAAATTTCATGCCTTGGCTAGGCATGCTTCGATGATACTTCCCACAGAGGCTGAGAGAGTGAGGAGGTTTGTTAAGGGGCTGATTATTCCAATTCGTCTAGGAGTTTCTCAGGTTGCCGCTTCTGGTGTTCCATTCCAGAAAGTGGTAGATGCTGCTAAGGAGTTGGAGATGATTCGACGTGAGGGATTTGAGCAGCGAGAGGGCAAGAGGACTCGTTATTTAGGTGATTATGGTGGTGCTCCGCCTAGGAGTCGGGGTTACTTTGGCAGAGGTTATCACCCTCAGTCCAGCAGACCCATTCATGCTGCTATACCAGCGTCTGAGGCTGGTTACGCTGAGCATAACTCTTCGAGCTCGGTACATACTTCGCAGGGTTCATCTTCTAGACCTGTAGTTCGTGGAGGGCATTCTGGTCATTCGGGTTCCTCTCATCAGCCTGCGTCTCGTAGGGGTTGCTTTGAGTGTGGTGATATGAGACACTTTGTGAGAGATTGCCCTAGGACCAGACGTGGTGGCTTACGTCAGGGTTCTCAGGCTTCGACTTCCAGGGCTGCACAACCTCCAGCTAGGGGTGGTGCACAGAATGGTAGAGGTGGTTCTCATTCAGGTAGAGGTGGTTCTCCTTCTGGTCGAGGTAGTGGTCGAGGAGGTTCACAATCTGATGGAAGTCGTTCTCACTGTTATGCTTTTCAAGGTAGGCCAGAGGCTAAAGCCTCAGATGCTGTTATCACAGGTATTATCCGGTTTGTCATCGACCAGCTACTGTATTATTTGATCCAGGCTCTACTTATTCTTATGTGTCCACATATTTTGCTCCTAGTCTGGATATATTGTGTGAGTCTCTTGATTTGCCGATACGTGTTTCTACTCCTGTCGGGGATTCTGTAGTTGTAGATCAAGTGTATCGTTTATGTACTGTCACTTTGATGGGGTATGACACTCATGCAGATCTAAAGGTCTTAGAAATGATAGATTTTGATGTGATTCTTGGTATGGATTGGTTATCTTCTTACCACGTAATTTTAAATTGTCATGCCAAGACCATCACTTTAGCTATGCCTGGAATTCCTATAGTAGAATGGAGAGGTACTCTTAGTCATCCTTCTAAGGGTGTGATATCATTCCTTAAGACTCGTCAGTTGGTACAGAGAGGATGTTTGGCGTACTTGGCCCATATTCGAGATACTAGTATTGAGACTCCTTTGCTTGAGTCTATTCCAGTAGTGAGTGAATTTTCAGAAGTATTTCCGACCGATTTGCCAGGTCTTCCACCAGATCGAGATATTGATTTTTGTATTGATGTGGAGCCAGGCACTCGGCCTATTTCCATTCCTCCTTATCGTATGGCACCAGCTGAATTGAAAGAGTTGAAGGAGCAGCTGCAGGATTTGTTGAGCAAAGGTTTTATTAGACCAAGTGAATCTCCTTGGGGTGCTCCTGTGTTATTTGTGAAGAAGAAAGATGGATCTATGCATATGTGTATTGACTATCGACAGTTGAACAAGGTAACCATCAGAAATAAGTATCCGATACCTCGTATTGATGATTTATTTGATCAGTTGCAGGGTGCTTCAGTTTTCTCCAAAATTGACTTGAGATCTGGCTATCATCAGCTGAAGGTTAGGGCGGAGGATATCCCTAAGACGGCTTTTCGAACACGTTATGGTCATTACGAGTTTTTGGTGATGTCTTTCAGACTGACTAATGCCCCAGCAGCTTTTATGGACTTGATGAATGGAGTGTTCAGACCGTATTTAGATTCCTTTGTTATTGTCTTCATAGATGATATATTGATATACTCACGCACTAAGGAGGAGCATGAGCATCATTTGAGGATTGTTCTTGGGATTCTAAAGGAGAAGAAGCTTTATGCAAAGTTTTCAAAGTGTAAGTTTTGGCTTAGTTCAGTAGCATTCTTGGGACATGTAGTGTCCAAGGAGGGTATCATGGTGGATCCTAAGAAGATTGAGGCGGTTAGAGATTCGGTCAGACCTACTTCAGTTACTGAGATTCGGAGTTTCTTGGGCCTTGCAGGTTATTATCGACGGTTTGTTGAGGGTTTCTCATCCATTACATCTCCATTAACTAGATTGACACAAAGGAGGTGACTTTTTTCAGTGGTCTGACGAATGTGAGGTTAGTTTCCAAAGGCTCAAGACTTTATTGACTACTACTCCAATTTTGACCCTACCCGTGGAGGGAGAGGGTTTTGTTGTATATTGTGATGCTTCTCGGATTGGTCTTGGTTGTGTGTTGATGCAGAAGGGAAGGGTGATAGCTTATGCTTCGAGGCAGTTAAAGGTTCATGAGAAGAACTACCCTATTCATGATTTAGAGTTGGCGTCTGTTGTGTTTGCATTAAAGATTTGGAGGCATTATCTTTATGGTGTGCATTGTGAGGTGTTCACGGATCATCGTAGTCTCCAGTATATATTCAATCAGAGGGATCTCAATTTGAGGCAGAGGAGATGGTTGGAGTTTCTCAAAGACTACGATATGACTATTCTTTATCACCCAGGCACAACAAATGTTGTAGCAGATGCCTTGAGTCGGAAGGCGGTAAGTATGGGTAGTCTAGACATGTTACAGGTTGGCGAGCGTCCTTTAGCTAGGGATGTCTAATCCCTGGCCAATAGCTTTGTGAGACTTGATATTTCAGAATCTGGTAAGGTGTTGGCTTATATGGAGGCTAGGTCATCCTTGTTGGAGCAGATTCGGGCTCAACAGTTTGATGATGGTGATTTATGTAAGATTAGGGACAAGGTTTTAAAAGGAGAAGCCAAGGCTGCAATTCTTGATAGTGAGGGAGTTTTGAGGATTAAGGGTCGTATATGTGTTCCTCGTACAGGTGATTTGACTAGATTGATCATGGAGGAGGCTCATAGTTCGAGGTACTCTATTCATCCGGGGGCTACTAAGATGTATCGTGACTTGAAGCAACACTATTGGGGGTGTCGTATGAAGAGGGACATAGTAGATTTTGTATCTCGATGTTTGAATCGTCAGCAAGTGAAGTATGAACACCAAAAGCGTGGAGGTATGACTCAGAGGATGCCCATACCTGAGTGGGAGTGGGAGCGCATTGCTATGGACTTTTTGGTAGGGTTGCCATGTACCTTGGGTAAGTTTGATGCTATATGGGTCATCGTGGATCGACTGACTAAGTCTGCACACTTTGTACCAGTTCAGACTACCTATAACTCAGAGAAGTTAGCCAAGATCTATATTCAAGAGATACTTCGTTTGCATGGTGTTCCTATATCTATTATTTCAGATCGTGGCACCCAATTTACATCTCATTTCTGGCGGTCTATGCAGAAAGAGTTGGGCACTCGAGTGGATCTTAGTACAGCCTTTCACCCACAGACTGATGGTCAATCTCAGCGGACTATTCAAGTTCTCGAGGATATGTTGCGGGCGTGTGTGATTGACTTTGGTGGTCAGTGGGACCAGTTCTTGCCTCTAGCGGAGTTTGCTTACAATAATAGTTATCACTCGAGCATTGAGATGGCACCATTTAAGGCTCTGTATGGTAGGAGATGTCGATCTCCAATTGGCTGGTTTGATGCATTTGAGGTTAGACCATGGGGTACAGATTTGTTGAGGGAGTCCTTAGAAAAGGTCAAGTTGATCCAAGATAGACTTCTCATGGCTCAGAGTAGGCAAAAAAGTTATGTAGATCGAAAGATTCGTGATTTAGAGTTTATGGTTGGAGAGAGGGTTTTATTGAAGGTTTCACCCATGAAGGGTGTGATGAGGTTTGTAAAGGAGGGCAAGTTGAGCCCAAGGTATACTGGTCCTTTCGAGATTGTTGAGCGTATTGGTGAGGTGGCTTATCAATTGGCTTTGCCACCTGGTTTGTCAGGTGTTCATCCTGTATTTCATATTTCAATGCTTAAGGAGTATCATCAGGGTGGTGATCATGTGATTCAATGTTACTTGATCGGAATTTGACTTTTGAGGAAGATCCGATCACCATTTTGGATAGGCAAATTCGGAAGCTAAGGTCCAAGGAGGTTGCTTCAGTAAAGGTTCAGTGGAAGCATCGTCCAGTGGAGGAGGCTACATGGGAGACAGAGTCAGACATGAGGAGTAAATATCCTCATCTTTTTGAGCGTTCAAGTTAGCTCTTTTTCTTTTCCCGTTCGAGGACGAACATTTGTTTAAGTGGTAGGTGATGTAACGACCCGCTAGGTCATTTTGAAAACTAGGACTAGTTTGACTCCTTTTGAAAATTTAAAGGGGTATTTTAAACTATTTAATAACTATGAGTATTAGAATTTAATAGTTAATGGGTCACATTCCTAATTAATAGTTACTACTTAACCCATGTATGAAAGTAAATAAGTAAAAGAATAATAATAATGATAATACAAAATAAAACCAAGACGTGATATTAGGTCGAGGAGTACAAACTGCTGCTGGGTTACGGTGATTTCCTGGTAAGCACTCCAGTTTCATCACTTGTATATGTAATTTGTGCAATGCATCTGAAGGGGGTATAGTAATATTTTATTTTAGTTTATTAGAAGGTGATTCAAGTTTTTCTATTATTATGAAACTGTTATCACGAAGGGTCGGTTATGATAGGTTTGAAGAAATTTGTTGAATTAAATAGTGATACTAGATGAGTGACTGATTTCTTTTGAGGTTTATTGAATGTGACAAATTTTTGGTGAGTCACAGTGAAATGTTGTGATTCTTGGGATTGAAAAAGAAAAAGAGGGTGAAATACAAAAAGTTATAATATTGTTGGGTTAAAGTAGGAAAAAAAATATTTATGTTAACTAAGGAAAATCATTAAATAATGATAAAGTGTAGTATAGGGAATTGAGTGATCATTGGCAACATTTGTCTGCATGAGTGGAATCTGCATAGTTCCATTTAAGTATTATTTTATTATTTTTGTGGGTAAAGTTGCTTATAATAATTAAGTATTAGCTTAAAACTTGAGAGTTTTCTTATAGTATTACTCATAAGATTAAGATATGGGTATAGTTAGCAAAGTGTTTTATGGGTATCGTATTATAGAACATGAATGTTATTGGATTCATGATACGAGGGGAATTAAGGCTTAAATTTAAGATTGAAATTTTATAATTTTCGCTTAACATTAGAGTTAGGAGTTTGGTTATAGATTGGCGTGAGTTTGAATTTAGGCTAGACCTATAGTAATACGTGTATCTATGAACTCATTTGTTTGCGGATATTACACATTTGATAGATTGAGAACGTTCCAAACCTTTGCAAAAAGGAGGAAAAATTTTGAAGATTCGTGGAAGGAGGTTCGACATTTAAGGTATGTTAAGGCTTTTAGACTTGTTGAAGGAAGTTTTCCTAATTAAAGATTAAAAAATGAAAATAGACAAAGGAGTAAGGGCGAAAGATGGGGTCTCGTATCAATGGTGTGACGGACATTGGTACGAGTACCGGTGTTATAAAAAGGAAAATTTCTACTATAGAATGTGGATTTTTCTTTTTTTTTTGAGAATGTCAAAGCATATGGGCATTAGCTGATATATTATTGACTTGAAATCTTTGTGTGATTGTGTTTTCTTTATTACACCCGTATAGTTGTGATAATTGAGGTTGTTATGAATTATGTTGATATTGATTGAGTGAGATGCATCATTATCCCCTTATATTAAAATGATAATGTATACATGCATTGACATGAGATTGAGTATAAGTTGGACACTTGGAGATCGTCCGTGCTGGGATGGTGAGATGTTAAGATTGTAATTTGGGCACGTGGAAACTGTCCGTGCGGAAAATTGTTTGATATTATGATAGTGCATTGAGATCGTCCGCACAGACACGTGGAGATCATCCGCGTCAGTATATGGACCTCGCGAGTCCCCCATGGGTCATGAACTCTCGATGTATTTTCGAGGAGTATCATGTATATACGGTTGAGTGAGTACTGGGTATTCTGAGCCATATCATTACATGGCATCATATTGCATTGCATTTCATCCCATCATTCATTCTTGATGACTATATGTTTCGTTTGGTGTTTGGAAAATATTAAATGTTGATTTCCTTTATTGATGAAACTTAAATAGTAAGTGTAATATATATATATATATATATACTTGTACAATCTAAGAATTTATTTTCTTATATAACTCCCGTCACTACTTCTTCGTTGTCGGTCAATGAGACATACTGGGTACACGTGGTTTCGTACTCATACTACGCTTGTTGCACTCTTTGTGGTGCAGATTCGATTCCAAGTAGGAGCACATCTCGAGGAGCAGTTTGAGTCCGAGTTTGGAGTGTCTTGGAGTTGTGGTGAGCTGCGTGGCTGTTCCGTGGCCCACACCTCCCTCTATCTTTTACTTATTCTGTTATTCAGTATTCAGATAGGATATCCCTTATGTTAGATTTGCCTTTTTAGTTTCAGACTTGCATCATATTTTAGAAGCTCTTGTACTCATGACACCATTTCTTGGGTAGTATTTTTTTTCAGTTTTCCGCATTCGTACTTATAAGAACTCAGTGTTGGAGATTTGGAAATTGTTGTCTTTTCACTTCTTGTTAGTTAACTTTGTTAAAATATGTTGGTTGGCTTACCTATTGGTTGGGAATATAGGTGCCATCACGACTCGTGATTTTGGGTCGTGACATATTAGTGCATCATTAATCAGTACTGAGTTAAGCAACTCTATTATCTGCAATATGAATCATAAAGAAGTCATTGAGATCGAGTTTATAAGAATAAATGTACTTTAAAAGCTGTGATGATGAAACATGCCATTGATAATAGATTTCAGTGGAAGACAGAAAGATCAAGTGTATTAAGGTACTTTGTATTTATATAGAATTTTTCTTTTGTTATTATAGTAATTATTCCATATAATATCATGTTTTAATTTGTTTTGTTTATTTTCTTTTATAATTCGTGTAGTTATACACTTGTTCGTGTATCTGAAAAGTGTGGATGGATAATGAAGGCTTCCAACATCAATAAATTGGGAATATTTAGAATTAGAAAGTTTGTAGATGAGCATACATGTCCATTAAAAGATAAAGTGTATAGTTAGAGACAAGCAACAAGCAGTCTTGTTGGAGGTATAATAAAGCCCAAGCCAGTTGATCATAAACGAAAGTTGACGCCGAAAGACATACAAGTTGATGTTAGACTCGAACTTGGCATAGATATATCCTACTTAACAAACTCATATAAAAATCGAAAAAATGACGAAAAAATTATAATACATAAAATCCAAAATTTAACATAATTTTTTATTTCGAAAATAAAATCTTATGAAATCTCGCAAAATAAAAGATGATTACGAAATTACCTTTATGTATTGAGAGATTTCTTGAATTAATCGATAGTTGAACAAATTTATATGAACTTGAATAATTAGTTCTTCTTCAACAATGAGAGAAAATTATGGTGAAAATGTTAAAAGAGAAAAAAAAATTGAAAATCTTAAAGATGGAAATAAATTTAATGGTATTAAAATCTAAAAGAAATCTAAATGGATAGTGAATATATTTAGTGTTGGACTGTTTTGAGAAATAAAAGGAAAGACAAATAATAGTATTATAAATTATTTTTAAAATATTGGCATTTTAACTTTTTGATTAAATATTTTAAAGTGTAGATATTTTTACTAATTAAGTTAGGAATTGCGACTACTTTACTAATTTTTTATACAAATTATTTTTAAAATATTGAGATTTTGACTAAATATTATAAAATGTAGAAATTTTACTAATTAAGTTAGAAATTGTGACTACTTTGTCATTATTTTAGTATTTAATAGGGTATAGTGTTAACACTTTCAATATTTAGTGATAATGTTAAAATTTTACCTTTTTTGTATTTAATTATATTTTATTTATTTTGTGTAATTAAAAAGAATACATAATTTATATAACAAACTGGAGCTATTTAGGGGAGCATAAAATTTATAAAAAGTAACAGATGCTTAAAACTCTCTACATTAGTTGATATGTATGTCCATTATTCATGATGTTCATCCAAAAAAAAAATCTTGCGAGGTTTATGTTTTGGAGAATAAACTAGGTAAACGATTTTTGAAAAATAAACACAAACGAAAAGTCAAAAGTGAGGTATGTTTTAGTTAATTAATCCTTATATGTTTTGTATTTGATTGTGATTTGATGCGATTTTGTTCGTATAATAATTATCATATGTATTTGCATTTTTTGGGATAATTCCCAAGTACCCCCTCAATCTATGCCCGAAATCTCAGAGACAAACTTATACTATACTAAGGTCCTATTACCCCCCTGAACTTATTTTATAAATAATTTTTTACCCCTTTTTAGCTTACGTGGCACTATCTTGTGGGCCCAATGATGATTGACTTTTTTTTCTGAACTAGTGTCACGTAGGCTAAAAAGGGGTAGAATATTACATATAAAATAAGTTCAAGGGGGTAATAGGACCTTAGTATAGTATAAGTGTGTCTCTGGGATTTCGGGCATAGGTTGAGGGGGTACTTGGGTATTTTCCCTTTGAATTATTATATATTTTAGTCAATGCAATTATCTTTAACTTAACTTTTGTTAGAGAAACTATATATCGAATGGAATACGTATTTGATGCATCAATTGTTTAGACAAGGAATAATGTTCAAATCGTTTATTTGAATTACTATTGTAACTTTATTATTTTGTATTCTTGATACAAATTAATGGTAATGCTATTATTTTCGTATCTAGTATTGACTATGTGATTTTTTGTTTTTTTTATACAAAGCATATATGGGGAGCATTAATTTTATAATAAACTATTCTGGACATTGAACTGAAGATAATTGCTATGTATATTACACAACTGAGGCAATTATGATTAAATAATATGCATCACATAAAGATTTAGTTGATGAAGTTGCTAATCAGATTGGGGTAGATTTGAGGTATAACAGATTGATACTTAAGTATTAAATAGAAGGTAGCATTCCACTTTGGAGATACACAACGGTATGGTAATGAGAGTATATGTCTCATTGAAGAAAGAAGCTTGAGAATTTGCAAAGTACCCTATTGGTGTAACTGTATTTGTGAAAGATCGTCATATAAATTGTAGAAATCAGTATGAAGAAGATATTAGCATGTAAACGGAGGAAGTACTACTGATAACCAAGCATTAGTTATTAATGCACCATTAATCAGTACTGAGTTAAGTAACTCTATTATCTGCAATATGAATCATAAAGAAGTCATTGAGGATTAAGTTTATAAGAATAAACGTAGTTTAAAAGCTGTGATGATGAAATATGTCATTGATAATAGATTTTAGTGGAAGACTGAAAGATCAAGTATAGTAAGGTATTTTGTATTTATATAGATTTTATCTTTTGTTGTTATAGTAATTATTCCATATAATATCATGTATTAATTTGTTTTGTTTATTTTCTTTTATAATTTGTGCAGTTATACACTTGTTTGTGTAATTGTGGATGGATAATGAAGACTTCCAACATAAATAAATCGAGAATGTTTAGAATTATAAAGTTTGTAGATGAGCATAAATGTCCATTAAAAGATAAGGTGTATAGTCAGAGACAGCAACAAGCAGTCTTGTTGGAGGTATAATAAAGCTCAAGCTTGTTGATCATAAAAGAAAGTTTACGCCGAAAGACATACAAGTTGATGTTAGACTGGAACTTGGCGTAGATGTATCCTACTTAACAAACTCATATAATGTAACAACCCTATTAGACTTTTTATAAAATTCACCCATTTTTCTAAGTTAACCAATTTTTTAATAGCTTTTATAAATGATTTATGACTTTTAAAAATGAGTGATATAATTTATAAATTTAATAATGATTAATTTATTGTTAATAATAAAGGAAAAAAAATAAATGGGTAAAGCCCAAAATAATAATGATAATAATAATTAAAAATATATATATATATATAGGTTAAAGGTTGTTCCCGCTGTTCGCAGCAGCAGCATCACACACGAACGAATCAATAATAAAATAATATATAACAAGAAGAAAGAAAAGTCGATGAAAATTTTTTATGAGGCGCAAAAAGGTACGAATCATTTTTCTTATTATTACATATAATGAATTATAGATATTGAAAGATTAGGGGCAATTGTTGATATCATTAATGCTTGACAGAGCATAAGGGAATTGGGTTGAAGACTAGAGATAATTTAACGTGGATTTTCTATAATTATTATAAGATTATTAATAGTCATGATGATTGAGTCATAGGAAAAATGTATGTTTTAAGGAGTTATTTTATATTCTGTATATTTTATGGTAGACGTGAATAGTATTGTTGTTCATCGTAAAAGGTCATTTGTTCTTTTATTAATTTATGGTTTAAGAATTATTTTTGAGGTTATCATATAGATTAAATTTGGTATATTGATATAAGTAATTAAATATTGTCTACATTATATTATATGAAAACTGTTAGGGTTGTAGTGTTTGGAGAAAGTATGACTTAACTCTTGACTTGAAATTTAAGAAATATGAGATTTGACTTATTGGTTAGAATCAAGATTGAGAAACTTTATCATAAATTTGGATAAATTTTTGGGTCAAAGTTAAACAGATAGTAATATGAGTGTTGTAAGTTTTGAAGTCTTATTGTGGTTATTGATTTGAATAGATTGTATTGATTTGAAAGTACAACGAAGGAGGAAGGCTAAAGTCCCGAAGTAACTTTTCGATAAATTGAGGCAAGTGGATTTCTAAATGTTAAGTGTATGAAATGTGTGTTATTCCTTGTGGTATATGTTTTGAAGTAACGGTATTGGTGATGGATTGACTTGTCCACATTGATTAATTCTAATGATGAAAAAAAAGGATAACAAAAGGCAATGTGATTAATTGTTTATGTGTGATGTGTTGAGAAAGTGTTGAAGGCTTGTTGAATCATTGTTGATGTGATTTCATGTTTGAATGGTTGGGAACTGTGCAATGTTATGAAAATGTCATCTCCGTATTATTTGTGTGAACTTGTCATCTGCATTATTCTGAGGTATTGGTTGTGAAAAGTGTTATGTGCATTGAGAAAGAATTAGTACTTAAGAGGATGTATCATTTCGAGGGACGTATCGCGCGCCACGATGGATACTATATTTCGAGGGACGTATAGCCCGCCGCGACGGTTACTATTATCGAGGGTTGTGTCGTGCGCCGCGACAGATGCATGGACAAATTTGTCCACCATGGGTCCCGGACTGAGAGACATCGGGTGTGTATCACTAGGTCAGACATGCATCATTATACTTGACATCGCATTCCATTGCATTGCACATACTTATCATTAGTGAACTTGATATCGTATTTTATTGATCTTCTGATTGCCTTTCTACGAAATTTGTGATTGATCAATATTGAGCTTGTTGTTGCGTATATATAATTTGTTGAAGTATTGTTGTTATGGATATGTAATTTGTTAAAGTGTTATTGTTGAGGATATGTAATTTGTCTAAGTGTTGTTGTTGAGCTACGTGCTATGTAAATTGTGAGCTTTTAGGTTGGATTGATTTTAATGCAGGTTGTAGTTGTGAAGGTTCGGT